CCCCAAAACCCCAAAACCCCAAAACCCCACGAGACAATAATATTTATTTGAATGGAGAGTATAAATAAATTATTTAATTTTATAGTTAAATTTGTTAGATATAAAGCTGACATAATTAATAGACAATGGGTCAAGTCCTCAGTAACTGTGAAGTCACCCTCTGTGACGCTGAGAGAGTATAGTCTTCTCAAACAAAGAGTCACAAGTCTTTGGCTCATATCGAGGCTGCAAAAGATGAAGCCATATTTAAGGAGTTAGAGAAATCACTAGGCTTAAGTCAGTTTAGTTTCCCTGAAATTGAAGATGTAAGTATTAATTTTGAAGTTGTCATTTCTGAAAAATGCTTATTCTTTTATCCTTTAAACCAAGATCACTAAACTAAATATAGCAATTAAAAACCTAGACAAAGTTTGGAGCTCTGACCAAACCTTAAGCACTAGATGCCCTGAGAAGAGCAGGAGTTATCAAGTCAAAGGAAGCATATGAAATATTCAACAAATTCCTAATAACTTTCGAAAAAACACAGGGAAACATGAGAATTATAATTCTAAACAAGCTATTAACAAGCATTCTACTACTGACTAAAGATAGCTAACAAGATAAAATCAATCATCTATTTGGAGTATATGCCGTTGGTGGAAGTTAGGGGGGTGTTGTCAAGAGAGTTAATGTCCGATAAATTCTAGATCACTTATGTTTCACTGTAATTTATGCCATCCCTAATCTGGCATATCATGCATGTATACCTGGATTTGGAGCCACAACTCAAAAATGCCAAAGAGTCATGGATGTTAAACTAGACATGCAAAAGAAAGTAAGAATCATATAATTATTTTATATTCTTAATTTCTAGGTGTATAATGACAAATAAAACTTATTTAAGGTGATAATGGGGTAGCACTAAGTCCTTAATGCTGAAGAGTTCAAATTAGCTATGTTCAGCACTTACCTTTAAGGCATCCTCTCAACCTAAGAATTAAGACGACGGCTAAGTCCTATTATTACATATGTACAATCAAAAATAGGTATGAAATGACATTTATACAATAATTAACAGAATATTTAGTAATTAAGCAAGATCATCGCTTTAAAAGATTTCTAACTATGACTTAAAATTCAAATCGATTAGACCTTGAATCCCCTAACATATCAGAGAAGCAAGACTCATTTCCAGAGACATAAAATTCATAATTTCAAAGTCCTTTACTTGGTGGGATGTATTTAGGGTAGAATAACCTGCTATTTTAAGATAAACTAAAACGTAGGGTGAAATTCGCTGATCAACAAAATGCATCTAATTCTGATGAAACAGAAGAACCCTCAAATCAGCAAAGCAAAAAGATAGTCTCAAGTTCAAGCACACCTGAGATATAAGGTTACTCTTAAACACTAGAATAAGCCAATGAACTCAACAATTTGATAGCCATTAGCAGAAAGAAACTCTATAATTAATCAAAAGCTAAGCATCCTCTGGCCCTTAAGAAAAATTCTTCAGCCAGTGCAATAACTCCAAATGAAAGTCTAGATATGACAACTCAGATCTACATTGGTGTTCTTAAAAGTAAACTTACAAGAGAAGATGCTGATTATAGTATGTATTCTAATAATAATGAATCAACCATGGTTTGAATTTCAATCAAAGTGCTGAATATTTATTTAGAAGATTTACTCAAAATTAGCTTTAAAATGGAGAAAAAGCAATCAAAGATAAAGATCAATCAATCAACTATAAGATTACATCAACTTACAATAATCTTTTAATTAAGAGATTTATAATTACATACATTCTTTTGATAAGATAGCTTGGCGGGGTTTTGGGGTTTTGGGG